ATATGGACTGCCAGAATTGTTCAAGTTCATGCTGGAATTACACTATCATCACGTTCTGCTTTACACCACAGCCACACAGCTATGGAGCTTTCTTCTGGTGCAGATGCAGAATTATTTTGTACGTGCTTCAAATAAAATTCTCTACACTGTTTCTATCCTCATAATGCAAGACCCTCTTGGGCTTCTTAGATGGAAACTCTAATACAAAAATAAGGTAATAGCCTAGAATATTTTGCCCTAAAAGCATTAAAGAAATAACACAATGCATGGAATAGCTACATAAGTAGGTTGCAAATAAAAAAAATGATCTTATCCCAAATTTAAATTTTACCTCAACCCCAAGTTGGTCTACATCTTTGGAAGTGTTAGTCAAAACCCTTCCAGTTAGAGGTATTAGAAACTAATGCAGACTTGCTAAAGCAAAAAGATCATTTCTTGGCTCATACAATGAAAAGTCTAAAACATGCTGGGCTTAGCTTTGCACATGCAGGCTACAAGAGCTCAAGAAAAATCAAGACCCATGGTGTTTAACTTTACTTTCCTCCATGGGCTTCATGTTTAGGCTCCTCAGAGGGACAAAACTCTAGGCCTATACCATCCTGTCTGCCTGCAGCCCCAGCTGAACGACCAAATTGGGTCACCCAAATCAAATACTGTGGCCAGGGGAACTAGTTATGTAATGTTTTTAGACGTGAATCCATCTCAAATAACAGTAGGCAGTTATCATCCAAAAATTAGTGTGCCGTTACTGAAAAAAAAAAAAAAAAGAGGGAAAAGATAATTTGGGCACCATATCTAAAGAGGTCTTTGTGTTATGACAGCGCTATTTTGTGTGTGGTGCGGGGTGGGGGAGTTCACTTAAAAAGTGAGTGTTTGAACTTTGTTAACATTGTGATGAAGTGTCATTGACAAAGAAGCCCTACACATTGGCAGTGTCAACTCCTCACTTTAGACTATTCATAAGGGACATCATCTTTTTTTTTCCTGCATAGTGTTGGAATATTAATACAGTAAAGGAAATGTAATGGTTTATTATTTCATGGTGATGTTGAATGTTCTCTGGTGACAGTGCTATTTTGTAAAGGATGGTTTGTGTAACTATCTGACGGAAAAGGATGAATTGCTAAGATACTTAGCATTGCTAAGTATCTTATTTAATTTTACAACTTTGTGGCAGCTGATGCTGTTTTTATTCCACAAATGCGAAAACTGAGGTTTGGAGATATTCAGTAACTTGTCAACACGCTCCTAACTAATGACAATGCCAGTTGTGGAACCCAGCACTTCAGGCTCTAAAGTTCAAGTTACTTTCCCTCACCATGAGGCTCAGCACTGCTACCATTGAGAGGTGGTAATTAAATGGGGGTGATATAGAATATAGTAAAATGGACTGTAGGTGACACAGGAAAGGTATTAAACTGCTTGTGAGCTGAGGGCATTATACTTTCATTGATATCTGTCACATTCTAAACCATGCCTGCCGCCACTAGCCTGGTCCAAAAAGAAACTTTTTTAACTCCTTTGAATTGAATTTTTAAAATTTTTTAAAACTCCTTTGAATTGTTTAATTCTTTTAACTTCTTTGAATTGAAAGAAACTCTTCTTATAATACAGGGAGTTCACAGAAAATAGTATTACATTATGATATTTTTGCATCACATAATTTCCCTTTGATGTCTAAAAAAATGTCCACAGTGATTCATAATAGAATCATGCATATAAAAAATAAAAAAATAGTTCTTTCAATTAGAATTGTCTTTCATTTTAGCCAGCTTTTCGGAAACCTTTTTTAAGGTGTAAATGCAGATATGCATGTAACGCAAAAAAAAATATTCTATTCAAAGATGCAGATTCTTCTTGCTTTGCTTCTCTGCTTAGATGCTCTGAAAACATGCAATCTCCCTCAATGCTTTGAATGTTTTCTTGGATTTAAATAATTTCCATGGAAACTGGGGCTAAAGAAAACACACTTGACAGCTCATTAAATAATATGCCACTTAAACAAGACTTTTTAACTTTCCCTTGTTAGATAATCAATGACGACTAGTATTTATATTCCTTAATGATGTAACTTCTGGACAAGCCTGGAAAATGATGTCTGATTAATCCACAGAGGTTCCATCTGATATAGAATGCAAAATCTATGCTTAAAAAGAGATGCCTTGCAGCACAGATGAGGCAGAAAAGAAATCCAAATGTTTCTAAAGCAGCTCAGCCTTTTAGCCACAAAGGAAAATCCTGTACTGAGATTCCAGAATTTCTCTTTGTCTTGGTAATTTTCCAGCATGTGTTTTTACTCTTCCAAATGCCACATTAGAACCACAGATGGCAGCATGATTTAAGCAGGTTTGAGCTTCTTTGCTTTTTAATCCAAATCCTAAATTAGATGGAAGTTGATACTAACTTCCCAGCTACCCTCACCCCTGTCTGCTCCTTCCCGCTCCTGCTTGTTTTCATCTCATTGAGTTCTCAGTTGCTTGACCCTATTAGTATTTTTTGCCAGCACAGTAAAAGTATCAGAATCTTAGTATCTATCAATACCATTTCTCAGCATCCCAAGTGCTGTCTGTCTTGTTTCAATTTGTATTTGCAAATCTAAACTAATCGAGGTTATCAGAGGAATGCTGGGTAGCTGGTTTTGCCCATTTGCAAAGGTAGATGTAATGTTCATAGTAGCACTGAGTTTGGGGTTCAAAAATCAAATATTATACTTTAAGCTGTTTCTATATCATGCAAAATATTCCTCCAATATCTAGACATTTGGCCTAGAATTTTTTTCCATTTTTCCCTTTTTATCCAGAGCCTAGATTTGGTTTTGAGATGAACTTGGACCTTGAAATGACAAATAGCATGTACATTTCATATATTAAGATTTAAAGACATTAAATTTCAACAACTATGGAAATATTAATTCCTACCAAGATGCAAATATCATACATTAAACTGTTATCTTAGTTTTAGAAATCAATTTTTAAAATTACAATTATCTATAATGTGAAAGGCATTTTTCTGAGAATTCATGGAATTCAAAGATAAGCACAAATGAATCTGCATTCAAGTTACTGTGTACATCACTCTGTTGAACTGGTTGACCCAAACTGATTTCTTTATAGTACAGGCTTCTTTGCTGTTCAAAAATCTCTGCTGCAATGCCATTAATTCAACTTGTGTTTTAATTACTTAAACCGTACAATTCTGGGCTTGGCTTAATAAATTAGCTCATTTAACACCTATGTGCACCTACTAAGTGTCAGGTGCTATACAAGACACTGGGGAAAGAAAGTTATCTCCCTACTCTTCATATGTGTACAGTCTAGAAAGGCCATCCAAATAAATCCGTAAGTATAACGTGGTATGGAATGGGCCACGGAAGCTTGCACATAGTGTCCTGGGAGCACCAAAGAGGGGCCCCTGCACTGATATCTTTATATTTCTCTCTCCTTACATTCCGAAGTTGAGACTTGCTCCTTGTAACCCATTTCTCTCCAACACAGATCTCCTCGTACTGTAAAAAACTAGCCCTTGGAAGAAGCACATAATCAGACAGACTTCTAAATCTGGCTCCAGCATTGCCAAGCTATGTGTCCTTGAGAAAATGGTTTTAGCTTCCCTGAGTCTGTAATTTCTCCCTCCATCATGTGGAGATGTTGATAATGCTGCATATACTCGATATGAGAGTGAAAGGAGGTATGTAAAACGCCTAGCAAAGTACCTGAGTGTAACAAATGTGATTGCTGTCCTACATATAGCTAGTTTAAATTACCTTATCAGTCATATCTCCTCTCTGGCACTGTTAACCAGACTGACTTATCATGGTAACAGCTTACACTTATTGAGTATTTACAATGACCCAACCATCCTGAACGTATTTTCTCAGTCCATCCTCACAATCAACCATTGAATAGTTATACCCAGACAAGTGATCTAACCTTATGGCTTCCATTGTGACCAGCACATTGTTCTTCCAGAACATCCCTGACAATAAGTATGAAGCAGTCTAGTCTCTCCATCACTTCCTGGATCACAAAGCCCATTACACATTGGCAGTCTGGCAGATTTGAACTGCCCCCTGACTGAACTTTACTACCCATTATGTCCAATTTGGGGTCTTTTGCTCCACTGGTGTTATATTGGAAAGAAGAGTTGCCAGGCACAAGGCCACAAAGAAGATCATGCTGCTGGGAACAATAGGCTTCCTTCTCTATAGGCTTTTCTTGCTTCCATTTCAAAAGGTCCTCCTGGCCAAATGCCTCCCACCTGTTGTAACCAAACTTGCAATCAATCATGACAAAATGCTGCTGGCTGGGGTAGGCACATGGAAGCCCTTTAACTATTTTCTGTCTGCTATTTGAAGTTTATACTTACTGCCTCAGAAGAAGAAAACTTGCCTTTTAATTATACCAGAAGGTAGAGTAAGATAAGCATCATTAAGAAACATACAAGATGCTTCAAGAACACAGATCTAACAGACTCTCAAAGCACCCACACCTGCCTTCTCTCAATGTCTTTCCTTAGCCTTTTGACAAGGAGTTCTAGCAAAGAGACCCTGATAAACTACCAATAATCTCTTATTTGTTATCCACCTATTTTGCTTACTGAAGCAGCTAGTCTATTCCCATTTCCCTTTCCTTTGGGGAAAAGCTATGGTTTGATAAATACTAAGCCTTTACCATGATCCTGTGAATGAAGGAAATAAAAGTCTGTTTAGAAACTGCCTGGATCAAAAAAAAGAAGAAGAAAAGAAAAGAAAGAAAGAAAAAAAAAAAAAAAACAGAAAACAAAATAAAACTTAAAAAAAAAAAGAAGAAATTATCTGGATCCTTCAATCTGGGTCAAGCTTTATGAGAAAGCTTATGCCAGAAACCAAATGGCTATTTTTGTGATGATAACTCTTGGAAGGTAGAGAGCAGAGAGGTGGCAAGCTCAGCAACTAATCATGATCATTATAATTCAAAGATGTAAAGACCTTTTTAACCAACACATTTATCTATTCAGTTCACAGTTCCCGGTGAAAGATGTGCTTGAAGGGGTCGGCACTTGTGGAGGGGAACACATCTAGCTGTCTTCATGGTAATTTGATGGGGCATCCATTTTTTATGTTAATAATTTATAAGCCCAGTGTATTTGAAACTGAGGAGGAACTTAATACCTTATCAGTTGATATCCTCCAGTTTCAGAGTGTTGTGTTAGCCAGTTCAGAATGTGTCTTCGATCAGCTTCTTGTTTTCATCTGGAAATCAGAAGAAATGTTATTTTTGTCAACATTTACCTTTGGCCAGTTTCTTGGTCAAAGTTGTTAACTTTATCAAAAATACCAGTTCATGTCCATTTTAATTCCTTTTTAAAATGTCTTTTTCATACATCTAATGAAATAAAATCATCTACCTTTAAATTATTATAACAGTATTCATTACAAGTACCTTTAGTATAAAAATTAATTATTCTTATGTTCAATGGTATATATCTTACAACATGCATGTAAAAGCTTAAATATCTACCAAGCAGATCAAATTCATGGTGGTCAAAAACAAACCCAAAATGTGTTCTTCAACTAGTGTTTCTTAATCTGTAATTTCACCTCCTCTATCTTAATTGCTTATGTTGGCAGTTTATAAAGCATCCTCACTTTTCCCGTCTATCTCACACCCCTCACCACATTAATCACTGGGGTCCATTGATACAATTGTCCAAAATCTCTTCATCATAAACTTCTCACCATCCTTCCTGCCACAAGCTTGGTCAGTCAGTTATAATCACAAGACCCACCAGCTGGTCCTCCAAATCCTCTTTGTCACTTGTCTAATTTATTCTCTAACCTGCAAGAAATGTTCATCTTAGGAAATCTCACATCTTTTATTTCACTCTTGACTTAAAATCCTTTCACGGTTTTCTCCATTACTGATGATCGCTGTTTAATGTGAGCTGGTAGGTCTGGTGTGACCTGAACCCAGCCTCCACTTTGCCTCTTGACCAGCCCCTTGCTCTCATGTCTTGGCCACACGAGTTCTTTTCCACCTCTGGATATTTCCACCCACTGTTCATTGCCTGGATCCCCCTTTAATTTTAACTAAGCTAACTAAGTTTAATTTATCCAATAGATAACAGCTACAATGTTATTCGTTCAGGGAATAGTTTCCTCCCCATCCATTCTACCCATAAACATACTTTTAATTAGGCCGCACAGTTCTGCTTCCAAAGTACCCACAATTATTCCTTTATAGGTCAATTCACAATGGTAGTTATTTGTTTAATATTTGTGTTCCTTGCTATAATGATAGCAAGTAAATTTAATCCACCAATCCAGATGTGTAAGAAATAAGGCACTGTTTTTTCTTTTCTTTTTTTTTTTTTTTTTCAAAATTATCTTAAATCTAATCCCTGCTTAATCAGTTTAAATCTAAATCCCACCAATCTCAAGAGAGTTTTAATCTCAGTGATTACTGGGCTCCACCCTCCCACTTACTTAGTGTCATGAAAAATCTGAGTGGTGTGCCTTATTCTGTCCTAAAACATGCACTGCGAGGTCCATCCTATTTGTGGTTCTCACTGGTTACATCAGAGAAGCCCGTTTTTCATTCTCACGTGGGCTTTCCTAGCCCCTGTCAGCTCTGTACAATGCTTGGGGTCTGGGAATGTTTACTGGGAGTGAAAACTCCATGGTTTGGGAGCAGCCTCTCTGGGTACATTTCTAGTTTGCCACTGCCCAAGGATGCTGCCAAGAGCAGGGCCCAGCAGCCTCTGCCCTCAGCCCAGTCTGAGGCATCTCCAACCTGACTCAGTGACTCTGAAGATGTCATTCCTGTCCTCACTTCTCCACTTGCAGTGAGTACAATCTTTTGGAACAGCAGAAAGTTTGCTTTCAAAAAGTTTCTACCTTCCATTCTGCAAACATCTTTGAAGCAAAAAACAAAAGTTATCTGCTTAAACTAAGAAGAAACAGAAAAATAAGCAGGAAAAAAAAAAACAATATCTAGAGACAATTCATGTGTCAGCACTTGCTCATATAATGTGCCCAACATACATGTATATTGAAAGAATTAATGAATTTGAATTAACTCACAACCCTATTATGTATTTTACGTGTATTTGCATGTGTTGACACGCCTTCATACATGTATAGAAAATTTTATAGAAAAGTAGAAAGAGAAATGTGAGCTGATATTTATGGACAAGAAGAGCAGCCTTTCTGCTTCTTGTCCTGCCTATTATAGGACCACATCTAGCTTCAGCTCTGTGTCAGCTGTGTACTGCAGACACCACCACCATCGTCTTGGCGAAAAATAAGAGAAAAGTATCTCTCTATATTACATGAATCCCGGTATGCCTCTTCTACAGACTAATAATAATCTGTCTTCCCCTATAAGGTAGACAGGGAGTATAAATGATTGGAAGGTAGAACAAGACTGTATTTGACCTTTTAACATATGAGAAGTAGAATTGAGAGTTTTAGGTACGGTCAGAGTTTAAGTCAAGCAGGCTTTAATAGAATCACACACTACAGTGTTTAGATAGCCTTCCTTTCGAATAGAAAAACATTTCACTTCTCCATTCCAAAGCTGAGATACATTTTGAAAAGTGAGAGATTTATTAGCCTTCTTTATAAAGGGAAGAGGGGGAGAGAAAAAGATTTTCAGCTAGATTTCTTCTTATTTTTGGAGACATCCAGCAATTTTGCTGTGCTTACTCTCTAAAGCTACATATTGTCTAATACATGGTTGATACTTGAGAATATCAAATAAAGACAAATCATTTCCTGGGAAACGGGCTCTCTTTCAGGTTGGACATTTGGATTTTGCAAGATGTATCTATACTTCCCAGCACTGAAATCAATCTGGACTTTGGCAAGTTACCTGTCCTACAGAACTGTCTCTTTTAAAGAAGAAGCCCCCAGCTCCAGGAAGCACATTTGCTCAAATGTAAGCGGGTTGCAATTCAAGCAATTGGCTCCCTAACCACCTTGTAACAATCTTGTTTCCGATTCTGTGTTCCTTCTCCAGCTCCCCTCCTGCTTTGGCCCTGAAGATTGAAGCATCATTTTATCTTCACTTCAGAAATCCATTTCATATTCCATTTCTGGCTAGCATGCTGCCTCCTAGACCACTACTTCCATGGACTGCTAATCTGTTAAAAGGTTCCCCATCTTGCAACAGACTCATACTTGGCTGTCACAGATACCTCTGACCACTCATGACCCCATTTTAAATGAGCCTTATCCCCAGTCCTAAACTGGCTGGATCCGATTGCTTTGTCTCAGAATTTGAATCTTTATCAAAGAATTCTGGTATTGTATTTCTAGTTCTAAAAGAATCCCAGGATAGCAAGACACAAAACTAGCCCAATATGGATACCCAGGCCATCATTCCTATCCAATTCATTTCCATCATTGGGAAAGCCAAGTTCTTAAACCAAGATATTCAGCCTTCGGTAAGCAGACTCCTTCATTTAATAGTTGAGCTAGCGAAGTATCATTCATTTGTAGCATGAACTCCAACGACCAGCCAGGAAAAATGCTGATGTCTTTATATTCTAAGGATATCAAATACAGGTTATTGAGAGGCTCGGCAAGACATATGCATGCTTTAGCATTGGATCTAATGACACAGTCAACACGTGATGGTGTATCTCCATTCACCTCATGATAAGGAAGCATGCTTTCTGGTGTTAGAGAAGCTGTTTCTCTTCACATTACTGCAGGGAAATGCCCCTGAATTGCAATGACCAAGTGAATGCCACATCACATAAGCTATCTGACAAATGAGGGGAAAATCAGGTCACAGAGCATTATTGGAGAGAAAAATAACATCAAAGTATCCAAGCATAAAATTATAGCTGAGAATGCTGTCATAAGTCAGCCCCTCTAATGGAAACAGCAAGGCCAGCAATTGCTGCTCAGGTGCCTGGGAGGCAATGTCTGTGAGAGTGATGGTCACCCAGAACATCAGTGCTCTCTTTCGTTGGCTGGTCTCCAAACTCACCTTTTTCTACCCAGTTTGGACCACACGATCCCACCTTTAGCTTCAGGACTATTAATTAAATCATCAGAAACCAAGCCTAGCCTCAGCAATGAGGAATCAAAGAAATTTCTAAGCAATATTTGGATGTGACACTCACTCCAGGCCTGACCTCACCTCCTAAGATGCACATTCATAATTGTATCTGGGTATTTTTCTTTTGCTCACTCAAATTGTACAGTATGGCTTTTCAAACCAGATGGGTATATGTTCTAATCTTGTTTTCACTGAAGAAATTGTAATATCTGACTTCTTGCCTATAAAGTGGAGATAAAATATTTACTTACAGAGTTGTTATGAGCATTCGCTGAGGTGATAAATGTGAATGGGTCTAGCATAGGGTCTAACACATGGTAAGCTTGCAGCCTTTTAAAATTCCCATACTACAACTCGAGTTTCTTCTGCTGCTTTCAGTCTGATACCTAATTTGTTGACATTATCAACAGCTCATCTCAAAAATTATAATTTTAATTTTTTAAAATTTTAATTTAAAAACCACTTTTTAATTAAGCATATATTCCTTTTGACCTGCACTCTAATACAGTAGCCAGTAGGCACATGTGGCTATTTAAATATCAATTGTAACTGCTTATTTTAAATGACATATAGAAATTCAGTTCCTCCATTGTACTAGCCACATTTTCAAGTGCCCAGTGGCCATGTGTGGCCAGTGGCCATTATATAGTATTAAATAAATACAAAACATTGTCATCACGGCAAAAGTTCTGTTTGGACAGCTCTGGAAAAGACAAAATCTAAGGAATTTGCTAATATATGCTATTACTTTGCTCTGAAGCATTTAGCTACTTTTTCCTTAATGCATCAACAAATGAGACAGGAAGCTCTAGCCGGAGCAATCAGGCAAGAGAAAGAAATAAATGACATTCACTGGCAAAAGAAAAAGTCAACTACCTCTCTTCATTGATGGTATGATTCTATATCTAGAAAACCCTAAAGATTCTGACAAAAGTATACTAGAACTGGTAAATGATTTTAGTTCAATTTCAGAGCACAAAATCCATGTAGCATATCCATACACCAATAATGTCCAGGTTGAAAGTCAAATCAAAAACGTGATCACATTTACAGTAACCACAAAGAAAATGAAATACCTAGGAATACAGCCAACCAAGGAAGTGAAAATTCTCCATAAGGAGAACTACAAACCACTGCTGACAGAAATCAGATGATACAAATAAATGGAAAAACATGTTATGCTCATGGATTAAAAATATCAATGTCATTAAAATGGTAATATTGCACAAAACAATATTAGAGAGATATTTAGCTACTCAACACTATTCTTATCAAATTACCAATATCATTTTTAATAGAATTAGAAAAAGCTATTCTAAAATCCATATGGAACCAAATAAAAGCCTCAATAGCCAAAGCAATCCTAAGCAAAATGTACAAAGCCAGAGGCATCATGCTGCTTGACTTCAAACAATACTAAAATGATAAAATAACCTAGAACAGCATTGGTACAGAAATAGATACTTAAACCAATGGAACAGAATAGAAAACTTAGAAACAAAGCCATACGTTTACAGCCATCTGATCTTTAATGAGGCAAACTAAAACAAGCAATGGGAAAAGTCCTCCTTATTCAATAAATAGTGATGAAATAACTGGTCAGCCACATGTAGAAGAATGAAATTTGACCTTCACCTTTGACTGTATACAAAAATTAACTACAGATGGATTAAAATTTAAATGTAAGACATCAAACTATAAAAATCCTAAAAGAAAACCTAGGAAATACTCTTCTGAGCATAGTCTTGGCAAATAATTTTTGGCTAAGTTACCAAAAGAAATTGCAATAAAAACAAAAAATTACAGGTGAAATCCAGTTAAGAGATTCTGAACAGCAAAATAATAAACTATCAATAGCATAAACAGACAACCTACAGAATAGGAGAAAACAGATGCAAACTGTACATCCAACAAGAGTCTAAAATCCAGAATCTATAAGGAACTTAAGAAAAAATCAAATAACCCCATTTAAAAAAAAAAAAAGGATGAAGGACATAAACAGACACTTCTCAAAAGAAGACATACAAGTGACCGACAAACATATGAAAAAAAAATGCTCATTATCACTAATCATCAGAGAAGTATAAATCAAAACCACAATGAGCTACCATCTCATACCAGTCAAAATGTCTATTATGAAAAAGTCAAAAAACAACAGGTGCTAGTGAGCTTGTGGAGAAAAGGGAATGTTTATACTATCAGTTGAATTACAGATTATTTCAGCCATTGTGGAAAGCAGTTTAGATATTTCTCTAAATATGAGAGATCTTATGGTAGCTGTTAAAACAGAGCTACCATTAGACCCAGCAATCTCATTACTGAGGTATACCCAAAGGAAAATAGATCATCATGCCAAAAAGACATATACATTCATAATGCACTGTTTACAATAGCAAAGACATAGGATCAACCTAGGTGTCCCACAGTGGTGGATTGGATGAAGAAAATGTACATACACACCATGGAATACTATGCAGCCATAAAAAGGAATGAAATCATGCTCTTCGCAGCATCATGGATGGAGCTGGAAGCTAAAACCTAAGTGAACTAATGCAGGAACAGAAAACCAAATACTACATGTTCTCATTTACACGTGGGAACTAAACATTGAGCACACATGGACGTAAACAAGGGAATAACAAACTATGGACTACTAAAGAGGGGAGGGTCAGAGGGGGCATGGATTGAAAAACTACCTATTGGGTACCATGCTCATGACTTGAGTGCAATATACACACATAACAGACCTGCACGTGTACCCCTTGTATCTAAAATAAAAGTTACATTTTTTTAAATGAGACAGATGGTCCAGAGGCCATCTGCTTCTACAACTCAAGTTTTTAAACCTAAAGTTGTTCAACCTTCCTGTGGTCATATGAATAATAAGTTTTCAGTTTTCTATTCTCGGTTTAGGAAACCAGTGTATAAGAGGAATTAATGTGGGACTTAACCGACCTTTAGAAATGTAAATCACATTAAATGTTCTTGGAAGATTTTCCAATATTTCCCCTCAAAAATTTAAGAGTGAACTAAATCTTCCCAAAGATTGGGTCTCAGAACAGTGCCAATGTCTAATACTTTAGGTCTAATTTAATAGAATCCATATTGACTCAGGATAAATCTTTGTTCCAAACTCCTTAAATTATATGATTCTTTGATACATTGAAATGAAGCAGAGTAGATAAAGCACTCACAGGGGTTTCCCCACTTTTACTACTGGTATCTTTCTGTTGCTACCTTCCAAAAGGTCATGTATTGACCTTCAAAAACCTTTCCCTTTCACTTCTCCGGGAACCCTTTCTCCAGAGCAGTCACCAGCTTAGAGTGCAAATCAACCTCATTTAAAGGAGAAAATGGTGTGGTGTGAAATATAATATTGGCCATTAGTCACTATTAGTTCATTCAACCAGCAAATATTATTGAGTACCTGATACATATCAAACCCTTGGCTAAATGCTGGGGATATGGTGATAAATAAACATGACCCTTCTGTGGTGCTTATGGATGAATATAATAATTCAGTTTGACTTAGATAAATAAAATTATATAACATTTTAAGTTGCTTTACATCCTTACCTTCAGACTGATTTGTTCTTCTATAGCCATGTTCAGAGGAAGCAACACTGTTCTACAAGCATCTTCATGTTCAATCAAAATTACATTCATCAAAGCCACCCAATCCTGGTCTTACTTAACTAGCCACCAATTTGGGCTAAGTCACACAAAGATGGCAAATATCCTATAAACTATCAGTAATTAATTGATATAGGTATCTGAGCTATTCTGAGAAGCTGTACTGAGGAGGATACTGAGGCTACATTTATTAAGACTGGAGAAAATATTGTGATCTATTAGTATTATCTTCCATGAGCTCAAGAAATGACAGATATGCTCAGTAATTTACATTACCTGGGGGAAAACTCAAGAGGGATGTGGACAGGTGTTATTCCAGATTAGGAAAGCAGGCAAGGGCCAAGACATAGAAGCACAGAAAAGCAGAAAGGCAAGTGGTCCAGGTGAATAGAATTCAGGGTGGGTGGAGATAAGATAAAAGGACCAGCAAGGATGTGTGGACCCAGTCTATGAATGACCTTGAAGGCTCAGCATCAAGTTTAGATGATTTGTCTGTGAACTACTCGTGTGGTTACCAATCTTTGGTGATTCCCAATGTGTCAAAATCATATACTTGCTGCCATTGGTTTTTCTCTAATAAAAAGCTCTCTTTCTCCTCTAAACTTCCTTCTAACCAAGGCATCTGTTCACACATAAATTATCTCATTATCATTAAAGTTAACATTCTTAAAATTCAACTCTAAATTGGATGGGCTCTACATTTACAGAGAACTAAATTTTAGAATAACCAATAAAACAGGGTCAGTTATGTAATTAGATTGCTGACATAAAGTCTTACCCAAGCTGTTTGTGAGAACTATGTTAAGATAGACACATATAGCTCAGCATGTGTTTTTCTTACTCTAAGTAAAGATGAATATGTATTTAGTGCACAAAGGATAGAATAATAAAACTATACTATAAAAGTCTGTTCTCTTCAAATGTTTAATTTATAGTTTCAGTGACATAAATACCTAACTATTCCCTGAATGATTATGAAAAAAAAAAAAAAAGAAAGAAAATCTCCTTTCCCCTCACCAACATATCTATGTATGTGTGTGTGTGTATGTGGGTGTAGGCTAAAGATAAGACAGTAGAAAGTAGCTATGAAATTACCAGTGAACAATTTTCTGCAATGTCTAGTATATCATTCTTGTAACTGTAAAATTACTTAATGTACTGAAGAGATAAGTTCTATAATGCCTACAATTTATATAGTGGAGGTCTGTTCATCTTTTAAAAGGCATACACCGTATAAAAAGCATAATAGTACTTTTTGATTTAAAATTGAATGGCAAATGAAAAAAGAAACTAGTGGAAAAAATAATGGCTCAAATTTATTCTGTCAAAGAATATTCTCAGGATACAGAATGCAGTAGAAAGAACTGAATATTTGTCTATCTCTGCCCCCTTGTGGTGATATGTGCCTCTCAGGTAAGGTAAGCAAATTTTTGCAGAAGGAAATCCAACACTTCAGGTTTGAAAACAGACATAAGAAAAAGTAAAAATAGAAGTAAATTATTGTATTTAACATGTAACAGAATAACTACTTCCATTGGTGTGAGTATACTTAATATAATATCTGTGGTTAAATTTTAAGAGCTATTAGACCAGAACAGTTATACATTTGAAATGCTAAATTAGTCTGAGACAGAAACAAATAGCAAAATTATGGTTTTTACTTTAGATCTTCTAAGAGTTCTAATAGTAATTATATAGAAATATGTTTCACCCAGGAACTATGTAGAATTATGTTACATATGTCATTCAACCACAATGATGAATATATATTGAAGATCTTCTATACGACGGGCATTTGATTAGAGCTCCGAGAAAAGTAGTCAGTACAGTCCTTGCCCTCATGAACTCTATGCTTCATGAGGAAAACAAGACATGCTATAGATAATCACAACAAAAAATTATAATCTCAAAGTAATACATGAAGGAAGAAAATATGGTTGTCTTACATATAACTAATATTTAGTATTATATTAATAATATTGTATGAATATTAACATAATAATAATAATAAATAGATCTTGCATGGGAGGCTGAAACAAAGGAAAGAGTGAAAGAAGCTGTGAATATATGAGGGTAGAGATTATATGGGAGTTGCCTGTACTTTCTGCTCAATTTTTCTGTGAACCAAAAGCTGCTCTAAAAAAAAAATAATAAAGTCTATTTTTAACAAAGAAAGAAGAACAAGAGGGAAAAAGAGGCTCAGGGCGCTGAGATGGGCAAGAGGAGGGATGCACTAGAAGGTATGAAAGCAAATCACGTAGAAGTGGTATGGATGGCTGCCATCCATGTAAGATGTGACTTGTTCCTCCTTGCCTTCTGCCATAATTGTGAGGCCTCCCCAACCACGTGGAACTGTGAGCTCTCCATTAAACTTCTTTTCTTTGTAAATTTCCCAGTCTTAAGTATGTCTTTAACAGCAGTGTAAAAACAGACTAATACAGTGTCCATTCATACATGTAGTGAATGCTTACTAGGTGAAAGCCTTTGTTCTAAGCTTTTAAGTTTAAAAACATAATGCTCACAATTCTATAATGTAGGCAATAGACTATTACAGGGATTTCAATAAAAAATAATGGTAGCTTGGACTAGAACCAGGGTAACTGAAATGAACGGGCGTGTTTAAAATGTCTAGAATAAGCAGTGACAGTTTCATTCCTTGTTTCTGGCTTATGCTACTAGATGGATGGTGACCATATCCTAAAATAGAGAAAAAGAATTCTATGGCTCACATCTGTAATCCTAGCACTTTCGGAGGCTGAAGTGGGTGGATCATTTGAGATCAGGAGTTCGAGACCAGCCTGGCCAATATGGTGAAACCCCATCTCCACTAAAAGAACAAAAATCAGCCAGGTGTGGTGGCACACACCTGTAGTCCCAGCTACTTGGGAGGCTGAGGGAGGAGAATTGCTTGAACCTGGAGGTGGAGGTTGCAATGAGCCAAGATCTCACCAATGTACTCCAGCCTGGGCAACAGAGCAATACTCTGTCTCAAGAAAAAAAAAGAAAGAGGGAGAATTCTAAAGAACAAGTTTGGAGAGTTGGGATGGAAGGGAACAGAAGAGAAGAATATGCCTACATTCAGTCTTGGAAACACTGAATTTGAAGAGTTTCTGAGACATCTGAGAGCAGATGTAGGCTATGCCAATGGAGACATGGGCCAGGTCTAGGAAGGAAGAAAAACATCCAGCCAGAAAAGCTTAAGAAACCTCAGTTATAAAAGAATAAATGGCCATCACTTAACACTGCTGAGAATCTCAAGGGGAAGAAAAACTTCAATTTCACAGAAGTTATGGAAATTAGAGAAGCTGGGAGTTTGGGAAATTTGCTGGTGGCAAATGAGCAGGGAAATATCACTAAAAATTAATTCACCACATGGCTTATTCCCTGAAAACCAACCCATCAAACATAGTGATTTAATAAAAATAATTTTATAAATTTTAAGAGAAATATATTGATTTGATGACAATGTAAAACACTGTCATGGGTAAAATTAAATGTCACGTAGAAATTACTCATTTAATTACTCATTTATACTGATTTTTAATCCTTTTAAAATATAATTTTGTATTGAGCCAACCTTTTAACATTCATTTGTTTTCATTTACGGTATTTTTAATCTATTTATGTTTTATCCACTTTTTGCATCTTTTTCATTTGGTCCATTGTGGTTATTTTGGTGTGTGTGTGTGTGTGTGTGCTTTCATAGAGAATCATTTTGCAAATTACTACCAACCAAGTCAAGATACCTTAATTGTTCCTTGATAGAAATCGTATTTTAGTTTCATGTGAAATGTAATGGTTTAAACTAATTCTGATTCTTTTGAATGAATTTAAATTTTAATTCTAAATTTTATTTAATTTAAAATTTTTCTTTCATTAAACTTTAACTTAAAATTCTGATTTATTTTAGTGCCTGTGAATTTAAATTTAAAGTTCAATCTCCTAATTAATGTTTAATTTAATCTTAAACTATAAATGCTAGAGATATAAAAGGAAAGCTGGTATGCCATTTGAGGAAATGGCAGAAGAATAAGGAAAATGCATAAAGTTTACCAAAATAGAAAATGACATTCAGCTATAACTGAAATTATATCTGAGGTAGACAAGCAGTCCCATTACATATAAAATAACCCCTCCAAAAAAAAAAAAAAAAAAAAAAAAAAAAAAAAAAAAAAAGCTGAAAACAGCTTTTCCTTTGAGAAATTTTAAAAATCAAATACTGATTCTTTAGCATTTGCAGATTTTTTTTTACCAGCTTCTCATGTTTTAACCTTAAAAAGTTAATATCCAGAAAATCATATTTCATCATTGGGGATCAAATATAAACATCCTAATCATTTTAACTATTACAACTATTTGGGATGAATTGAGAAATTTGGTAAATCTGGTGAATTTGATCATTCGGCAAATGAACGTTTGGTGTCCTGGTCCTTTAGCAGATATATTTTCAAATTGAGAAGGATCCAATTCACTGCCATAAAAACAGACTTTCCTTTCTCAAGGCTCTCACAGTCTAGAAGGAGAAATGAATAGGCAAAGACTCAGAAACTCTTTATAAATATTAGGAAGGAGGCAGGTGCAGAGCTCTGCAGTAGCGCAGGAGGGAGAGTAGGTGAGCAGCCAGCTCAACCTCAGGAAACACTTCCCAAGATTCACACCGGTAATAATAACATAGCTGATTATTAAAAAGAGTTTTCCAACTAGAAAAGGAAGAAAGAGACACGTCACTTCTCAAAGCATGAAAGGGCATGCTGTTTTCTGAGAATGGCAAATAATGTTGCATCAGCTTCTGATGCACAGAAGGCATGGACAATGGCAATTGGTAGTAAATGATGATTGAAAAACGAATGCCTATCACATACATTTAGGAAGCATATTTAGGAAATAAGATTTCACATTAACTAACAAGACTTAGAACTTGACTTCGTTTAGGGGATGAATGAAGAAGCAGATCCCAAGATGATGTGCAATTTCCAATTTGGACAAATAGACAAATTCCTGAGAGAGAGTTCAGAGGGAGAAATGTTAGAAAGAAAGATTTTAGAGAAAGAGAGAGATTGTAAATTCAGTTTTAGATGTGCTAAATTTGAGGTGCTTATATGGGATCTAAATTTAGAATTTCAACTTGAAATTGATGAAATGAATATGGAATTCAAAAGAGATGTGTAGATGAGATTTTTTAAAACTAGGAATGAGTAGCATATATCGGAATTGAAACTATAGGGGTAAATGATACTATAAGCAGAATATTTAATCTAAAAAAAGAAAGAAAATGTTAGGAATAAAACCCTGAAGAACACTAGCATTCAAGGAACTATTAGAAGAAAGAGTCCCCTGAGTTAGACAGAGGAAGAGTGGCTAGAAAAGTAGGGTGGTGTGTAAAGAACTCCCCTCTAGTGTTTTTGCGGGGAGAGAGTGGTCAACAGAAGTAAATATTTCAGAAAGGCTGAATGATAAAACCAGGAGGGCTCCACTAGATATGTTACTAGAAAATAAAGGCATTTCATTGGAGTGGTGAGAGCAAAGGGTTGAAGAGTGAGGGTGGGGAAGTTGGGACAGAAAATGAAGATAATGAAGAAGGAAGTCAAGTTTCACAGAATGGTTTTTCTCAAGACTGTAGGGATATGTGCATGTTTAGATGCAGGTAAAAGGCAAAAACAGAATGAGTTTGAAAATATACTTGCTTTTTGAGCAAACTGCTTAATTTTTCTACTCCCAGTTATTTAATCTGAAATATGAGGACATGAAACAATGCCTACATCTGTATAATCCATGCAGAGCTTTGCATATTACCTGGCATGTGCTAATCACTTAAATAAATGCTGGCTAATATGAAACAGCAGAAAGAATAGTACTAGAACATGACAAAGGGAAGAGAATGTGGATTTAGATCTGTGTCTATGTGTAGATTTGGCAACGGGAAATTTACAGAGTTTCAATCTCATAACCACCATCTCTCTGTCAAGAAAGAAGAGTCATGGATTCAGAAGTTTCTGAACGGAATTAAAAGGAATGTATTTTATCGTATCTATATGAAGAAGGAAGGAAGGGAATAGATTAAAATTTGTCGCATCTATTTTATGAGTCATGCATTAAAATAAGTGCTTTGTTTATTTATATTATCTCATTTAGCTCTCAAAGTAAGGTAGTTGTTATTCCCATTTCACAGATATACAAACTAAGGTTTCTGTATCAAAATATTCTGAGGTACAATAGACCCAAACAATGACTCAACATTGAATAAGTTTATTTCTTGCTCTCCGAGCAGTCTAGGAGAGTCATAGGACTCTTTCCCCATAGTCACTGAAGAAGTCAAGTTGATAAAACGCTCTGCCACTTTCAACAATATGGCTTCCAAGCGTGGCACAGTCTGCTCCAGCCAAGTGGAAACTAGGAAGGGTTTTTTGTTTTGTTTTGTTTTGTTTTTCAATCTTTGTTGCTGTATTTGGCTTATTTATTTGTCGGTTTGTTGGCCAGAAAAATGACATAGGCCAGACAGGGAAGAAATACCCATAAGTCCTGTTCATATTCTCCAACTAGACATTAGCCACATGCTATAAGGAACAGTCTCTGCCAGTTTGTTTATTTGTTTGAGGAAGCTTTGGAGCAGGGAAGAAGATCATGAGTTTATTTTAGAAATATTACATTAAAGTTTATATGTTCAAGTGGAAGAATATTACCTGTAGAGGTGCACCTTAAGAAAGAACTTCATTGGAGTTTTGAGGAGAACCCTGAGGTATTAAGCAAATAAACAAATAAATAAGGTTTCAAAAAAGATATTATAGTAGCCATAGGACTGCAATATTTCCACAGACAGCACTAAGAGAATCCCTACCTACTACTTAAAAAGTTAGTAAGGATAAAATGGGAAAACAGAGCCCAAAATTGCCCAAGTTAACCATTCCAAAAACTGCAGTAAGGAAATAAGAAGTAAGAATGGGGGGCAGGCATGGGGGCTCACCCCTGTAATCCCAGCACTGAGGGAGGCCGAGGCAGGTGGATCACCTGAGGTCAAGAGTTCAAGACCAGCCTGGCCAACCTGGAGAAACCCCATCTCTACTAAAAATTCCAAAAAAAAAAAAAAAAAAAAATTAGCTGGGCATGGTAGCGGGTGCCTGTAATCCCAGCTAATTAGGAGGCTGAGACAGGAGAATCACTTGAACCTGGGAGGAAGAGGTTGCAATGAGCCGAGATCATGCCATTGCACTCCAGCCTGGGTGACAGAGCAAGACCCCATCTTACAAAAAAAAAAAAAAAAGAAGAAGAAGAAGAAGAAGAAGTAGTAAGAATGGGTGATAATACTGTGTGGTTTTTTTTTTCAATCTTCTTTTATTTTCAATCAGTAAAATTATTAGCTATGCAACTAAACACCATCTAGCAAATGAGACAATATTGGTCAATATGAGACAATCTTATGTGGGCTATTTAGTAACCAAAAAAAGAATGATTGATGCTGCCTGCCAAGAAGCTGGTAATTACACTTACTTTTTCTATTGTATGTGAATCATTTTTCCAATATATGCTCATGCCATATCTCTGTTAACTGTGTAAGCAAAAATGTAAAGCAAGCTAACAAATACCAACAAACAAAACTCATAGCCTTAATGGTTATAATGTGCAACCCAACAAAATCATACAATTCTTATGGAACAAACTCTTCCATGAAGATAGTAAAAAGATACAGTAAAAAGAACAAAACGAGGGAATGTGTTCTTTTTCTTTGTCCACAAAGGAGCGTAGTTACTAGGGCAAGAACTTCCCGGCTCCATGTTTTCTCCCCCTCCCATCCATCTTCATCCGGGAAATTTAACAGTTTATGTTTGAATTTTGCAGGCGTAGGAAGACACTAAGGGTCAGTCACCCCAGTGGAAGCTTAAAGGAACTCCTTTCATTGGCCAGGGGAACTTGAGCAGGTGGCAATTTCTCCCAGGATAAATTCCCCTGCTCCTTCACCCACACCAGATTTCCAGCTCTCTGGAATCCCCTCCCACATAGTGGGAGCTCTCTTTTCCCTCCTGGATTTTCCCCCTCTGGGATCCCCTTCCACCCAGTGTGGAAGCTTTCTCTCTTCTTCTCCTGTTTCTCTCTTTCTCTCTCTAAATAAATCACTTTCTGCAAACACTTTTGGGGTCTGGTATTTATTTCATGAGTGCACTGGGTCGTGGTCCCCTCTCTCATTCTTGAGAGAGCAGGAGACCAAGAACCTGGAGAAACATCCTCTCAGGGGAGCTGGGGGCACCCCCGAATCCCTGAACTCAGAAACAAAAAGACCCAAATTCTTGCTCTAGCTGTGCAAATATCTGAATAATTTGAGGAAAGTCACTTTTCTTTGGGGGGCTTTAGTTCGTCCATCAGTAAAATGACTGAAGTTTGAACTAGATTAGATTCAATTTACAAAACATTTATTGAACGTCTATTGTTAAACTCTGTGCCAAGTACTGGCGATGTATTTATGATACAATCCCTGTGTTAAGCTTTTCAACAATAGTTCTTTCTTTCCTGGGCACAAGTATAACTAAACTTTCAATCTTACTGTCAAAAGACAAAACCCTATCGTTAATTCTGTTCAATAAAATGTGAGTAGCACGTGTCTGTGTCACTTCACGCTCAGACAGTAGAAGCCCCTACTCAGTTTCTACTCTGTCTCTCTTCTGCCACGGAAATCTGAAAACAGTCCTTGTATTGAGAAGGTAGAGTGTCACATTTGAGATTGCCCAGATCTCTGACTCACTGAACAGACCAGCAGACAGTTGTCCTTGAGAGTTGCCCAGATCTGCAGCAGATTCTTGCATGAGTGAGATGTAAACTTTTTTTCTGATAACTAGTATTAACTAGTATTAACTATTAATTTGTCACATCTTGACAAAGAGGCTAGTTAGAAGGCAGACATATGCAATATGGTATGCACTTCACTATGGATAAATAAAGTGCCTTTGGCAGAGAAAATGAAAAGTAATTCATTATTTCTAAAGATATTGGGGAAGGTATCATAAATTAAGAATGAGTGTGGCAGTTTAATGAAGCAACTGGAATAGAACATTGAGATAGAAGAAAGAGAGTCAAGGATGGAAGCTTGGGGGACACTGACATCTAAGAATTAGAGAAAGACAAGTTAATAAAGAAAACCGAGAAGAGAAGACATAGGAGCAGAAAGAAAACCAGAAAAAAAAATGGTGTTCTGGAAACCTAGGAAGGAAAGGAAAACATTCCAAGAGGAGTCAGAAGTTGTCTCTAACGTCAATTGTTGAGAAGCCGTGATCTGAAAAGAGGTCAGGGATTCAAAATTATGAAAACTTTAAAGATAATATGTAGACTATAGTGACTGGAAGACAAAAAGGAGGCAAAATATGCTTATAGTAAACACACAGTAGTATTTATCAAAGTATGTTTTGGAAAACATTTACTACACAAAATTCTCCCCAGAAAGATGGAGGGAGTTGACTGTTGAATACATTTGAGACATGCTACTGCATACCATATACCTGTAAGGGGATTTTTAAAAATCTATTTGTAATTTCTCACCTTGGGAGATAAGAAAAGGAAAAATGAAAAGTATTATTTGCTTACAAACTGACAATGTCAAGACAAGATAACAAAAGTAACCTCCTGGGACTGCTCTGTGAGTATTGACCAACAAAGTTTAGTTTCTAATAGCACTAAATTTTGTTTCACTAAGAAAAAATGTGCTTGAATGGGGACAAATTAGGCTAAATTTTTTAATTAGGTATGTCTTGAAAATAAAAGAATCCATAAAATATGTCTTCCCTTCTCACATAGCGCATTTGTGGTTTGCTAGCCTGAGCACAATTACAAGCCTCGAACAATTTTTGCTTTCCCTTTTCATTAATTTGTAAAACGGGGATAAAAATAACACAGATTTCAAAGGGTTGTTTTGAAGAGTCAGTGAGCTAAAACATGAAATCACTTAGAATATTGCCTGGCATATAGAGAATGCTCAACGAATATTAACTATGACCATTATTAAGCTTTTCCTATCTCCTTCACCATCAAGCTGGGATAACTCAACACCTGCGCTCCCTGATGAAGTATTGTTATTGACCCTTGCCATTCAATGTAACATTCATGCATAATTTACACACTAATAATCAAGAGTTGACAGAAGAACTGTTACATTTGGTTACTTCCATTTCAAGTGGAGATATCTGAACTTGAGAACTGTCAATCTAGCCATGATTTTTACAGAAGAACTATCCTGGTGAGGTTTCATCATTTAATCCACATAATTGAATAAAAATAGAGTAATTTTATGCGTATTTCCAGTTGGGGTTCACACCTAAACCAACACACATGTTCCTAAATGAGTATGTGATGAGTCTGTGCTTTTCTGTCATTACTGTAACCACTGCATTAAATAATTAAGAAACCTATTTTCTGAAAGGAAACTGTAGGAAAATATCTAGTCATTTTCTTAATTAAAGAGCAACCCTTTAAATCTTATTATGATTTTAAATCTTTCACATGAAGTCTTCTGCTCTGAGGAAAATTATATACGTCAGCCTGCCAAAGAATTCCCTCCCCAAGAATTTATGGCATGTGAAAATGTGGGCTGTGAGCATTCTGAAAGTTTTCCCCTCCCATCTCCCAGACAGAGCACTGCCTCCCACACAGTTTGGGGTTTTGGTTTGTTTTTTGTTTTGGTTTGGTTTAGTTTGGTTTGTTTTTTTTTTAAAAAAAAAAAAAAGAGAGAGATTTTAACTCATTTTTACTTTTAATGTCAGACTTATTCTGAGGCTATATACAGAATCCAGCATCAGCACAGAAAACACCATTTGAGTTTCCTCTTCCTCATCTTGAAATAAAAATAAATATCTAAAATTATCCATAACACATAGTTTTAAGTTGTATAGATGTAAAACCCTTGCTCTAACAGCAGCAGTGAATTCCCCTCAGAATGTCTTTAGAGGTGGATTTTTTTATGTCTACCATCTGAATTTTTTATATCCGCCTCCTTAGAAGGCATTTTATGCATTACCTATCTGTCCAGCAAGAAGTCCACATTAGCCTGGGGTAACTGTACTACCATGAGGAGAGCAATCAGCATTACCTCATTGCTATCTTCTGCCCCTTCCGAATTCATGGACTCTTAATCCCTCTTCCAGCAGCTTCAAAGGCAAAAAGTAGGCAAACTCTCCACCTCTATTTCTGTAATTCTACCACACATCTTTGCTTGCCAGGATAAAAGAGGTATTTTAGAAGACACACATTGTGTCAATCCAGTACCCTATTGTCATTTTGTAATGTTTTTATATTTCCATTGCATTCTTCCAGGTGGCCACACCAGACATAATTAATTAAGCTGCTTTTTTTTTTTTTTTTTTTTTTCTCGCTCTGTCACCCAGGCTGGAGTACAGTGGCATTATCTCAGCTCACTGCAACCTCCGCCTCCCAGGTTCAAGCAATCTCCTGCCTCAGCCTCCCAAGTAGCTGGGACTACAGGCGCCCACCACCACACCCAGCTAATTTTTGTATTTTTACGGTGTTTCACCATGTTGGCCAGGATGCTCTTGATCTCTTGGCCTCATCATTTGCCCACCTGGGCCTCCCAAAGTGCTGGGATTACAAGCATGAGCCAATGCACCCAGCATTAAGCTTCTTTTGTACTAACTTCATAGACACAAAACCAGTTATTATAAAGAACAGAGTAAGATCAGTCATGTGCACCTGACTCTTTGCATCACTGCCTTCACTCTGCCAATTCCTCGCTATTCTTGGTCTCCTTAAGCATAACTTAACTCAGGGAGACTTTCTCTCGACCCTCCTTCCTCTCCCAACACACACGTGTCTGTCTAGATCAGGTCCTTCTATACCATGTTCTGAGAAACACCCTAATTTTTCTTTTCCTTTACGGCATTTGAAATGATCATAATTTTAGGATGATCTGTATTATTGTTTTTCAGTGTTTCTCTCTCCTCCCAGACTATTTACATGCCCGTGATTACCGCTCAGTGTTTGTTGAATGAATGGATCCTTGTGGGTAACATCTTTTATGAAAGAAACAAGTCTGATGAGATTATTGTCATGCCCAGATTTCTATTACCAAACTGAGGCATAATAGGAAGAAATAGAAATAGGCCATTATCACTTTGGCATTTAGAAAAGCATTTAATCTAACCATAATTCATTTCAAGAGCCTGGCCCTTTAAAATTTAAATATAGCAAATAAACACAAAATGATATTACCTTGTCCTTGGGAACACTATTTTCCCCCTGTTATTGTTTTCTATAACTGTCATGGAACATTAAAATGTGGTATCTGCTTTTTCAGCAAATCGTTTAGGATACAAAATACCATTGCAAAATAGCCCATTGAGGAGAATAAAAATTTACTACCATCTTCTTTTGGCCTCCCTGACCAATCGCCTCTAATGGCCACTCTGTGTTATCTTCCCCATGTTCTCTGCTGTTTATGTCTTTCCTGCTGCCTCTTTTGCTGCTTGGCTTTCTCTCTGTACTTCATGCATTTTACCACCAGCATGCAATCCACTGAAGGATGTTCCCACAGAGATTTTCCACCCTGTGGAGTA